CTACGGCTATTCTATAAAGAACTTCTGCTTTCAACATTTTACCAATAGAAGCTGTCTGTGCTAACTATTTCCATCAATTTATGTTTTGTAGAACAAAAATAGAGAAAGTAAAAATGTCATCAGTACTTTGTTAAAAAAGGAAAAACAGAAATAATTTTAAACATAGTCGACAATAAAATGGATGTATATTGTTTATATTTGCCGCTGATCGGCAAATAAAAATTCTATCCGCGGGCCGGATAAAATCCTCCGGCGGGCCACAGTTGGCCCGCGGGCCGTAGTTTCCCCATCCCTGTTATAGGTAGTCCAATCAGACCACTATAAAAGCAAACCAGTTTACGAAAAAGCCCTTTAACAGAAAATCTAGTAAAAGCAAAAAAGTGGTAGCAAATATATGTCTGAAAATTTGCTTAATTTTTGAATATGATTAGTTAGTCTTAGTTACTTGTCTACCACTACAGATTCTATTCTCAAATATATATGACAAATTCCTCTCAGTCACTTTTAAAATAGAATTTGGTTTCATGCGCTCAAACTGTTCACTTTTTAAATAGTCTGCGCAGACTACTTATAAGAAACCGTGTGGAGGTTTTCTGATGTAGAAGGTGATGGCCAAACACAAACAGTGAATTATTTTTCAGCCACTTACTTCGCTTTATCATCAGCTATTACACGTTTCGTTATTCTAGCTAATTTATATTTAAAAACTTTTTCCCAGCAAAATATCTCAAAAAGAACAAAGTCTTCAATAAAAAGAGATAAATATCAACAAGTTTATGAAATAAAATGCACATGTTCAAAATATGCACATAAAGATCGCGAAATAAATATTTTTGTCACACGATCGCCAAATAGCAGCCTTGTTCACATCCTTCTCCCCAAAATAGCGAAATAGTATCATCCGATACCACGTGATGAAGGCGGAGCCAAGTGCCAACTCCTGGTGAACGAACTCAACGAACTATAGTATAGTAAGTATGCTATAATCTAATGCCTGACCAAGTTTGAATATTATAGATTAATATTAAGGGGAGATATACGGTCATATGTGTGTATGTAGCATATAAGCAACAATTTCTCAATTTTAACTATTTTTTAAATGTATACATACATACTTAAATATTGTGCCACGTTGTGGGCCCTCTAATTTGTCAACAATAATTTCCTTTGATATCGTAGTATATTTTTCTATAATATAATACTTGACCGAGTTTGAAAATTATGGGTTAATATAGATACATATTAAGGGGGCGACAGTGGGTGCACCCAGGATAGGGTTTCCAGGGTTTAAAACCCCTAGGAATTGCACGTAATGTTTTTGTAAATCATTAATTTATCTGAAATTTACTTACACGAAAAATAATTATTTTAAAGCTAATTTTCATTTGAGTAAGGAAGTTAAATATTCCTTTTGAGTAAAGAATCTCTGAACAGAATATATTATCAGAACAGTTTGAAAGACTTCTTCTTTGAACCCTTTTCATATTTTCAAAAAGGGAATCTATTATGTAGAAGGGAGACAAACTATTTTAAAAGCAAAACAAATGGAAGGAGCAGAATTGATACAGCTACCCATTGTTCAATCCACTATTCATCAGTTTCTTTCTATAAGCCCATTCATGCATGATTCAAATGGTAAAACATGTCTTTTATTCTGTATTATTAGAGTTATGTAATTAGAATATCTTTCTCTGAAATATAATTAGAAGAAAAGAATTGAATCACTCTATTTTGTTGATTTGCTTTAATAACGATGTCTAATTATAAAGTTAGCCAAAAACAGGAGGACATAGCATCAGTTTTTACAGGAAAACGTTCAAAATGAGTATAAAAGTACTGATAGCCAGATATCACAACCATGGCCAACTGGAAGTTGGCCCTTTTAGTTGGCCATGTCACAGTCCACCACGATACCACATGCTTTCCTTTAAGGGGGTGGGAAAGGATTTTAAATTATATAATAAATCTAAAAAACGGGTAAAATTTTTGATTTTTTTTTTAAAATGGCATTTGAATTTTAAATAACATCTTAGATAAATAAGGAAAAGAATAATTAAAAAATGAATTTAGAGGACCATTAAAGAAAAATCAAAATTCGTGCACCGGTCAAAAATTTTTTCGCAAGACCCATTTATAAAAAGCCATTAAGAACTTTTTTAAAAATCTTACTTGAGGCTTATTTTTCACCATTTTATTGCATATTCACCATTTTATTATATGTATTCAAATCATTAATAAGTTGAACTAAATTTGGTATTCAAATAACTAAGCCACGCACTGACAGACAATTAGAAATAATATTCCCGCAGTGCAGATTTGAAACCAACAAACTGTTTCATGGATGAATTTTCAAATGATGCCAAATTCTTAGAAGTTACTACAGCAAATCATTATTAATAACGGCAAAAAAATAGGGATGAAAATAATATTCTTGAAAAGATATTATGATTTATATGAAAATATGACGGATGAGTTCATTTTGTGACGCAATGTTTTGTTACCTTGTGATAAAAATAAAAGGAAAAACGGTCGAAAGTTTAGACTCTTTAATGTTAATTTTACTTTTTGTGTATTTCGCCATATCTCAAGAACTTTTTAAGCGATTTGAAAAAAAATTTGCATACAATTATAAAATTCGTTTATTCAACGATAATTCAATGAAAAAATAATTTTTAATAATTATTTATTATTACTTAAATTAAGAATAGTAGGAAAAAAATTTGAATTTTAAGGTATACAA